CATATGCATCATCATACAAATTATGTACTTGTATACTATCTTCATTAATTAAAGCCTTATTAATTAGATCATGACATCATAATACTCCTATTGTCACCTCCCCAACTTCTCATGCCCAGATTCCTGCATTTTTGTAGATTTGGGGCATTCCTGATTCTAGGTCAGACACATTTTAATGGAATCTTCCCTCTTGATCTGTATGCTGCTGTAATTTAAGACAATTCCTTGTCTATCTTTTGATTCAGGCAGAAACCATCCCAGTCTTTGAAACTCTCACAAAACACTGAAAGCACCCAAGGCAGTTTAAGTGGCCCATTATCAGGCAGGATTACCAATACGAACTGCTTCCATTCTTAAATGAAAGTGCCATGCAAAATATTCCAGAACCCTGCTTGTCTATTGGAGATTGGATTTGCCATTAATTGCACCTTCCATTATAGGTAGTCCTCGACTTATGGACACAATTCAGCCCAACCTTTCTGTTACTAAGCAAGACAATCGTTAAGTGATTTTTGCCCCATTTTAAGACCTTTCTTGCCATAGTTGTTAAGTGAATCACCAGAGTTATTAAGTTAATAACACGGTTGTTAAATGAATCTGACTTTCCCACTTACTTTGCTTGTCAGAAGGTCACACGTGGTAATTACATGACCCCAGGGCACTGCAACCATCATAAATATATGCCGGTTGCCAGGTGTCCAAATTTTGATCATGTGACCATGGGGATGTGGCAACATTCGAAAATAAAATGTCACTTTTTCGGTGACATTGTAACCTTGAACGGTCACTAAATGAATGATTGTAAGAAGAACTACATGTTATACATGTCATACATGTTACAGGAGGATAAAAATGCAAAAGGCTAGCAAATTTATTCTTCCACATAAACAAAAAAAATGATCACAGTGGTCTTCTATTACCTTTCCACCAAAAACAATCCCAGTTAAGAAATGAGATGCAAATTAAATCTTGTCAAATTATGAGATGTTTTAATCACTGGCAATTTAGCTGAGAATCTTGCAAAGAATTTCAGGCCTGATTCAAAAGTACATTGATCTCTTTGGCAAGCATGTAAAAACTGAACGAAATGGGAAATAGGACCCTTGTAATTATGAGGTTCCCAGCACTAGCATGGACTGCAATAAATTACAAAGTCTGCATTCCATTTGGCGAAATAGACTCAATTTATCATTTTATTTTAAAGAGATTCCATTATGCTAATGTCTTACAAAAGCACTTTCTAGTCTTTCTAGAAGGTCAACAGGGGACACAAATTATGAGATTTAGAAGTATGTCAGAGAGCAAAGCAAAAGTACTAAGTTTTAATAAAGGAAGACATAAACATGGCTACTTTCAACAATTTTATAAAAATACTTTTTGTAGACATATCAATAGATATAGATGTATTTCCTATTTTCACTTGTCACTTGTTAATAATAGAAGCTAGTTAATTAAAATGAGGTTTACTTTATAAAATATCATTTCCCACCACACAAAATTTAAGAAGGCCCGATTTTGGCTCTGTGTGTGGCACATTGCCCAGATACGCACAACCCAAGAATAATAAAATATTATGCCTTGGAATGGAAAACAGTTTGTCTCTAAGAGCTGAAAAGAAATATGGCTTCTAAATGTAGCATTTCAACAAATAGACATTTCCCTGAAAAAGATAAATCTTGTACATCTTTCGCTGCCACAGGAAGAAATCAGGATCTATTTAAATGCATTTTTATATAATAGGATAATTCCTAGAATGTAGAACAATTGCTTAGTTAAAGTACTGCAGATAATGCTTATTATAGTTGCTTTGTTAAAAATAGAATTGGAATAGTATTAATAGAGTCATTTTGAATCAAGTGTCATGCAAGGTGCCATATACATGACATGTAATGAAAATAACAATCTGTTTCTATTAATGCATTAAGGTTTTCAAAAAGCAGCATATAACATAGGTATCCTTATGGAAAACAGTGTACAAATTTAATGTTTGGAGATAAGGACACAGATTTTTAAACTGTATGAAAATGTATGTGTATATTTTAATTTAAATATTTAAATAAATATCAAATTTAAAGGTGAATCAGTCAGAATACAGGACAGATTTTTTTTTATGCCTTCAAGTCAATTTTGACTCCTGACAGTCAAGTCACTGGAGCAGTCACTGCAGTTTTCTTGGCAACATTTTAGAAGTGACCTTCCTAGGATTATGAAACAGTGACTGGTTAAGGTCCCCAGTTGGCTTTATGCCTAAGGTAGAACTAGAACCCACAGTTTTCCAATTTCCAACCTGATGACTTAACCACTGCACCAAACTGTCTCTGTATAGGGCAGAATATAGAAAATAAAATAGATTCAGCTATCGAAAGAACTGTATACTTTAAAATAAAAGCATTCTTCAAGAGCACAAAATACCACTAATGAATGAAGAATCTTTGACGCTAATAAACTGTGAGCATGAGATGATTATTTCTGCTTAAAATGGACAACCCTAATTCCTTTACCTCAAATTCATATCTCTCTCTCTCTCTCTCTCTCTCTTTCTCACACACACACACACACACACACAATCCTCATATCTTTTCTTTGCCTTCTCAGTTCTTTAATGTTATTTTATTAGCTGAAAAGGGATTCTTCTATTCTTTCTTGAAGAAGAAATAAAAAAAAAATCCCCAAAGATTATGTTCTTATATTTACAAGCAGTAGGTTTAATCTGTTCGGTATTGAACAAATTAATCTTTTTATTCAGAGATCAAATGATCTTTCGCTGATGAAAAAGAACTGCAATTTATCAACCTGGATCATATTAATGTAAAGAAAAAATGCACATACTATATATTTCTGTTTCTTGTGGCCACTATCTTGGGGAAAAAAACATGTGATTTATGAAAAAAAATGCTTATCACTAAACCTACAGCTTGATAAAACTTCAGAAGATGACCCAATATAATATGGGTACTGAAGAAAATTCACCTATTTCCTGAAATGATTATTTCAGACCAATAAGCTTGGATGTGCGTTGATTTAATTGCAATCCATCATGTTCTTTTAATCCTTCAAATGTTGGTTAATCCATGCAAGATTAGTACAAACAAGCAAGTTCTTCATTTGAAATGTTTGTTCTAACAAATAACCCTCTCTGTACTGAACTTAAGGATTTACTTAAGGATACGAGAGGATAAATTCTTAGGCATCCTGTTTTTAACGAAGGAAGATGAAAACAGTCACACACAGCAGCAACTGTGCTGTTGATATATACATGGTTCATTTGTTGAGCGTTTATAGCTGCTCCCATTGCACTATATCACAACAGAAATGCATGCTTTACCCGAGGCCCTTTAGATGGATCAGTGCTCCCATTTTGATGGAGTTCTCAAGAAAAAGATATCTACTTCTTCCTTCCCCCACCAAATAAAACCCACAGGTCTTGAATATTCAGATCAATGCAATATTAAAATCAGTAAGAAGAAATGAGCATCATATTGTTTCTTGACCTGAAAGTAATTTGACAGTGTAAATTTGAACATGTGACAAGCAATACAGTAATTTGGATTGCTTTTTTGCCTTAGGCAAATTGAGTCTCGGAACATTTTTTTTTTTGTAGATGCTCAATAACTAAACCAATTTTTAGCCTTTTGTAAGAATCTTTCTTCTTGTAATTCCAAGAAGCTACTGTCAAGAGATTATTTTGCTCTTTATCTAGCTCAGCTGTATTCAGTTCCAGCTTGAACCTCCTATTAGATGCTATGTACAATTTTTTTTAAAAAAAATCATTAGACAATGCTAATAACTTATTCATGTTAAGAAATGAGTATATAAATATGCAGTTTTGATATGACTATGGAAAAATCCTACTTAATAGATAAATTTAATAATATAGTTAGAATAATAAATAACCAGTTAGATGAGGGCTAAAATAGGTGTGGAAACATGTGTTCATATTCGTTTTTTCTAATGCTTATGTCTAATAGTTTCAATTCTGTTCTTCCCTGATGTATAAATTGAGCAACTCAGTTTGGAGATAGCAGCCAAAAGTTACATCCAGCCCTTGTTTGAACAAGTTGCTCGCTAAGAGCTACACGCAATGCTGGAATGAGGTTGCCAATACAGCATGCTATTTGGACACTCCAAAGAATCTCAGTCCAGATATAGCTTTAAATAACATTGTTCTTTTTCTTCTGGGCTTGAGTGATATAACTCTAGAGTCAGTCCTAATTTGTAAAATTTTGTTTTTTTAGGACATCTCAACTAATTCAATGAAATGATCCATACATTTTCTAGATTCCAGTGTTTCCCAAATATCTTCTGTGTAGCTATCAAGAAGATTCAAGTAAACTTCTTTTGTTCAGTCTAAAATATTTCCGTCTATCTTCAGAATCTACCTCTTGTTAAATTCTAAACAATATCTTGTACTAGAACTGAATGACTCTATCTCTGCTAATTAAAAAAAAATAAAGAGTAAGATGAGATTAGAGAAAATAGTTTGTTTCTTGGGTTGACAACAAGAATTAAACAAAGAAAATTAAATATGTATGCATAAGACTATATTGGACTAGTGACTCCCAAATAGATCTTGGGTATTATACAATTCCAAGAGATAATTCAGGTAAACTTAGAACCATCACAAAATGCCTCGGTTAAAAAGAAAAATAATGAGGCGAAAGGAATTTTGAAAATACTGTGTCTAAATTTTAATAACTTTACAGAAAAGAATATAATTCAGCAACAGCAGGACCAATCTCAATAACGTCAAAATGATGACAGGTACAATGTTGTCAGCTAACCAATGTTGCATATTTGCATTTCAGCCTCTGATGCAAATACATTGCATGGCATTTGTGTGATGATGCCATCAGGCCCGTGTCATCATTTTTCCCATCATGCACATGTATGCCATGAATTTGCAGCTACACAGAAAGCTTTACAAGAAATTTAAAAAAATGCAAACATGTCTATTTTGAATGGGTAGATTCATGTTGTTCAGCTGATCTTTAATAACTTACCTGAATTATTAGGTGGAATAGGGATTCTGTTGTCCAAAATCACAGCAAGTCCCAATGAGTCAGACGGTAAAAGGTTGGTACTAAGATCCACACGAGTGAGACTCGTGGGTTCCCTTCCATTGCTCAATAGGAGGAGCCTGGGATTTTCATTCTCACTCTTCTGCCGATTCTGAACAATATGAACAATACTTTGCTGGGGTAGATCACAGTTCTGGAAAGGGGAAAAAATCAAATTCCCATACATGTTAGAGTTTGAAGTCTTCATTATCATCTCATCTTTTTTTTTTTATACAATTCTCAAATACATTTAATATAGAGTGAGTGGCCAAGGGTCGGAATGGCTGACAACAATGACTCTTAAGAGTAATGAATCTTAAGAAAAAGTGACCAATGTAAATTGTCAAACAGGGCATTACTTCCTTCACCAACAAGGTCAAAATATTTGGACATTTCTATACCTTAAACAAAAACCGTTGAAACCAATCAACCTTGCTAAAATGTTTTACATAAAGATAATAATAATAATAATAATAATAATAATAATAATAATAATAATAACAACAACAACAACAACAACAGTAGTAGTAGTAGTAGTAGTAGTAAAGTTGGAAGGGATCTTGGAGGTCATCTAGTCCAACCCCCTGCTCAGGCAGGAAACTCTATACCATTTCAGACAAATGGCTGTCCAGTCTCTTCTTAAAAACTTCCAGTGTTGGAGCATTCACTGCTTCTGGGGGCAAGTTGTTCCACTGATTAATTGTTCTAACTATCACAAAATTTCTCCTTAGTTCTATGTTGCTTCTCTCTTTGGTTAGTTTCCATCCGTTGCTTCTTGTCCTGCCTTCAGGTGCTTTGGAGAGTATAGTATAGTATAGTATAGTATAGTATAGTATAGTATAGTAGAGTAGAGTAGAGTAGAGTAGAGTAGAGTAGAGTAGAGTAGAGTAGAGTAGAGTACAGTACAGTACAGTACAGTACAGTACAGTACAGTAGAGCTGGAAAGGACTTTGGAGGTCTTCTAGCCCAGCCCCCTGATCAAGCAGGAGAACCTATATCGTCTCAGAAGGGTGGATATCTAGTCTCTTCTTAAAAATCTCCAGTGATGGAGTGCCCACGATTTCTGAGGTTAAGCTGTTCCACTGGTTGATTGTTCTCACTGTTAGGAAATTTCTCCTTAGTTCCAGGCCTGTTTTAGTCTCCAAGCCTTTGATCATCTTAGTTGCTCTTCTTTGAATTTTTTCAAAACTCTCAACATCTTTTTTGTGGTATGGTGACCAAAATTGGCTGCAGTATTCTAGGTGTGGTCTTACTAGGGCTTTATAAAGCGGTAATAGTACTTCTTGTGATCTTAATTCTATACAACCCAGAATTGTGTTAGCTTTTTTGATTGCTGCTGCACACTGCTGGCTCATAGTCAAGTGATCGTTCACTAGGACTCCAAGGTCCCAGTTACTGTTTTTGAGCCAGGTCTCGCGCAATCTGTATTTATGCCTTTGGGTTTTCCTGCCTAAATGTAAGACTTTACTTTTCTCCACATTGAAACTCATTTTGTTGGATAGGGCCCATTGTTCAAGTTGGTCAAGATCTTTTTGGAACCTGTGTTTGTCTTCTGGGGTGTTGGCTATTCCTGCTAGTTAAGTGTCATCTGCAAATTTGATGAGTTCTCCTTCTATTCTCTTATCTAAGTCATTGATGAAGATATTGAAGAGTACTGGGCCTAAGACGGAACCTTGTGATACCCCACTGCTTACTTCTCTCCAGGTGGATATAGTGCCATTGAGGATTACTCGTTAAGTATGATTTGTTGGCCAGTTACAGATCCATCTGGTAGAGATGTTGTCTATCCCACCTTTTCTTAGTTTACCAAGGAGTAGGTTGTGGTCTACCTTGTGAAATGCCTTACTGAAGTCTAGGTATACTATGTTCACTGAGTTTCGCTGGTCTACTAGTTTAGTTACTTTATCGAAGAATGAGATGAGATTGGTTTGACATGATCTATTTTTGACAAACCCGTGCTGGCTACTAGGCAGGTTGTTCCACTGGTTAATTGTTCTAACTGTCAGGAAGTTTCTCCTTAGTTCTAGGTTGCTTCTCTCTTTGCTTAGTTTCCACCCGTTGCTTCTTGTCCTGCCTTCAGGCACTTTGGAAAATAGCTTGACTCCCTCTTCTTTGTGGCAGCCCCTGAGATATTGGAACACTGCTATCATGTCCCCCCCCCGTCTTCTCTTCATTAAACTAGACATACCCAATTCCAGCAGCCGTTCCTTATATGCTTTAGCGTCCAGTCCCCTAATCATCTTTGTTGCTCTTCTCTGTACTCTTTCTAGAGTCTCAACATCTTTTTTACATCACGGTGACCAAAACTGGATGCAGTATTCCAAGTGTGGCCTTACTAAGGCATTGTAAAGTGGTATTAACACTTCACGTGATCTTGATTCTATTCCTCTGTTAATGCAGCCTAGCACTGTGTTAGCCTTTTTGGGTTTTGGCAGCACACTGCTGGCTCATATTTAGGTGACTGAGATGGCAAAGGTTGATTCACCAAACCTTGTGTTTGAAAAGTATCACTGGAAAGTGAATGGCAAAGTTTTATATGGGCCCACTAGGCCACTTTATTCAAAAATTATGCAAGAGTACTTTTAATTTGTGCTTCTTCTCCTGGAACCTCAAAATGTAGAGATGATGTTTACGTCTAGGTGAGAACCAGCATTTTTAATTGGATTTAAATGGCAGGCAGTGTGGTGACTATAAGATGGGCATGATACTAGCACTAATATACTTTCCTGTCTAGCCATGGGGCCCTATGTAATGGTATATGAGGAAGAAGGAAGTAGGATGAAGAGGCAGAAATAGGGTGAAGACGCACGGCCTAGGGAATGGTCAGATAAAAGAGAAGGAACCTGTACTAACTTCACAGGCTATAGAGAAAGCAGACTTAAAAGATTCTGTTAATGTAGCCTTTTAATAAAGTAGAATTAGCTCATCTGGTTGTTTTTCCTGTTTGATCTACCTGGGAAGGCTGAATCAATCCTGCACATTTGTGATCCTTTCGCCCCATTTCTCAAGGCCTTTCTCACATACCACGTTCTCCACTCACGTGTCTAGCAGCTACTTTCCAAATCCCATCCATTTCTAATGGGCTTTTTGCAACAATTCCTTGTGAATGCAGTGATTTCAGTTTTTGTCCTGAAATCAGAGAATTATGGGGTGTCTCAAAAAAAAAACACCTTTGAATAAAATGTCCTTTAGTTGTAAAGACATAATTCTTCATACTAAGTGTCCTTTAGTGCTAAAGATATAATTATTATATAGAATCCATTACTGGCATAATTAGCAAAACCAACCTTTTCCTGGGAAAAATCATACAGCATAAAACTGAGCTTTGTTAGTCTATCTGATAATCCAGTTCTAGTTCAAATGGCCTTATTTTCTGTGATAAGAAGAGAAATCATATTCAAGTGGAAGAACAAATCTCCTTGTCTGTTCGGTATGCATTCTGTGGATTAATGCTTTGGAACCATTTTGGACATAGAATTGGAGAAGTGACATATAGAGAAAAAGTTTTTACATTAAAGTTTAAAAGTTTGTGAATACTTTATTCTTCATGTACTTTATTTTCAAGTACATGGATTTTGGATTGTGATCCTTCAGTTTCAGAACTGTGTTTGCCATAGTATCCCTGAGTTTACAAACTTTCCTGCTTGGGACAGATTTACTTCACAGAAGGTTGCAATAATAAAATATGCATATAAGAGTGAAAAACCCAACATTCTGTTACCTAGATAGGGTAGTATACAAATCCATTAATCTGATTCATTGATGTAACATGTCTATCTAATTGCGATTTAACACAAAATGTTGAATAATCAATGATGGATTCCAGATTTATCTTACTTATTGTAGGTGTACAGAGGGAAATGAGTCTGCCAGTACTAATTAAATAAATCTATTTTTATTTTATTGAATCAATTTTATTAATTAAATAAAAATAGGACATGGTAAATGTATAATGTATAATATGATAAGGTATACATTATACAAGGTAAATGTATAATAATGTATAATAATGTCATTTAAACCATAATATAGATAAGTAGCACAACATATGCAATCTAGACTAAAATATGAAACCATGCAATTTTTATATTTACCATTCCAACAAGTACAACTATAAGGTTTTTTCTTTTATGACACAATTAGCTTGTGTAACAATTGAGAAATTAATAACGACTACTAGAAAGATGAGGCTATAACACTAGACAAAGCTGTCACATATGAAGTAGCTTTTGAAACTGAAAGTTACACATCCACTTTAATGTAAAATCAATTCTCAGGTATAGAATTCAGAGAGACGTAAAGTAACACACTAAAAAAAGGGGAGAAACATAAAAGGCTTTCCATAGAGAAAAAACTAAAAACATCACAACTGATTGCTCTATTATTACTGTACTACCCTTTAAGACTTAGAGGACAGACTGCATGTTGTATCTTTAAACTGTGATTCACAGAAATAAAATCAATTAGGAAAAAACACCTGCATATCCACCCTGCCCTTTTCATTTTTGCTTAGAATTTTTGCTTAGATTTGTAAGAACTGGTGGCCAGAAGTCTAAATTACCAGTAGATGGCAGGAAATAGCAATTTCCATGTTTATTTGCTGTCATCTAGATTTTGCATTCTTGTTCTACTTTCACTGCATGGCCAAATGGTGACTGACAAGGCCTTAGAAAATGAGTCAAAAAGGCCTTTCCCACCCTTTCCTCACTCTTTTAGGAAAAATGGGATATTACAGAGCCTGAAGTCTAATGTAAATCCTGTCATTATTGCTTGAGACTAACTAGCATAAATAAGGACGCTATCTGAATCCATTAATGTATACGGAAACCCTATTCCTGTACAAAAATATAAAACAATTCACTGATTCCCAAATTACTTCATAACGTGGGAAATGGAGGACTGAAGACGGCTCCAAAAAGCTAAACTGATGACTGTGGTAGAATGAAGAACCAGGGAGTAGGACTTTGGTCATCTATAAGTGACCAAAGGAGAGGACTTTGGTCATCTATAAGTGCTCCTGATAGCTGCTCCTTACAAGGAAACCTCAAAATAGTGGTCTGCAGCAGATTTAGACTTCTGGGAGATGAGGGAATATCCAACTTGCTCAAACCATGGTTGGCGCCTTTGAAAAGAAACTAAGTTTGCATATTTTAT